AGGGGAGGGGGGGGGGGAGCCACACAGTCATGGCTCGCGGCAGGCAGTGCCCTGCAGTCAGCGCACCACACAGCCATGCCCTGCAGCAGGCAGCATGCCACACCGCATCCCCCACTGCCTGGCCTGCTCCCTGGCCCCTAACCACTTCTGCCTTCGCCTCTTCCTGTCTTCCACCTCGCCGCCTCCTGTCATAACAGTCCGGGCCAGCCAATCGCCACTTGCCCTCTGGGCGGTGCATGCGTGGTTGGCCCAGAGTGTTATGGACAGACAGACAGACTAAGGCTCTTATTATATTAGACTTCTATTTCTTACAGTACAGATAAGCAACCACTTTCAGAACAATGTGCCTACAGCAGTGGCTTATGGAAGAAAGATTTTAAATGACGTCATATTTGGAGCAATACTTGTAATGTGTGGTTATACAAAAGCTGAAGCAGGGACTTCAAAAGCTTACTTCTGAAAAGGAATATTTGTCTCCCCTACCTTCAAAAACAACAATCCCTAATGCTTCCAATAATCAGTTCTTTTTAATTCACAAGCAATCTTACAGTATATATAGCAAAAAGAATTGGCCCAGTTAGCATCGTTTTTTTAAATGACTGCATGTATGGATCTACATTCTTGTAAAAGGACTTTTCACGCTCATGATTTCTGCAGGTCTAGCCACTACTTATTTTTTCTGTTTTCTCAGGGGTCCTTATGAAACTTAGAAGTGAGTAAAGGAAGGTAAGAAGCATAGTTCAAGCTAGACAGATGTTTTAGCTTTAGTTACCATCTATACTGATCCCATTCTTGGGAGATTAACAAGCAGCAACAGTTTGGTATGGTGAGAAATGAAAAGTATTAATTAAATCAAGATTAATGGATTCCTCTTCAAAATTAAGCTGTCAAATGAAGAACTGTAAATCTGTGAACTGAACTCTTTGTACCATCTTTACACATCTCTGTAATGGAAACATTTGTGAAATACATATTAAAAGCCTCTTGGAAGATGTAAAATATAAGACCTTGGGGTACTGCAACTCCTGGAAGTTCACAACAGGTATGGACATTTTGATCCAGAAGCAATCTCATCTCAGAGAATTTAAAAAACCTAACTTCTGCTTAAATAGCTAGAAAATACCTAAGGATATCTATTCTATGTAAGCTGGACTTCTTCAGCAATGTGTACAACTCAGAAGAGAAAAAATGCAAATTGACTGGTTTAGGTAAAACTAAGGTTTACATTTTAATTTAAAACATTCTTTATGTAGATGTTAGAGAGAGCTACACCCCACATAAGCTGTGTCCAGATGAGCATGGACATGCAGTATGTGGTGCTGCAGACCCATCTGCAGCACCACACATAACACGTGCAGGCATGTGCTGCACTGCTGCCTTGTGGGGGGGAAGGAGGGGTTTGACCTTGGGAGATCCTGGGGTCAAAAAAAACACATGCCGTAAAAAACAGCAGGGTGGCACACATGACAGCAGTGCGTGCAGCCCCAAACCAGAGCCTGGCCAGCTGGTGCCATGCTCCAGCTGCCAGCCAGGCTACCAGCTGCAGGAGCACCATGGCTGCAGATCCCTGAGGTCCCCAGGACCCCAGGTAAGGCTCCTGGGGCCAGCACAGTTGCTGGCCCCAGCCTCCCCTGCCCCACCCAGGGTAACCTGCCATGTACCAGAGCATGCATGGCACAGGCGTTCCCTGGAGACAAGGTGTGCCACAGCAATTTGTCCCCAGGGAAACAAATGGCTGAGCTCATCTGGACACAGCCACAGGGAGCAAACTGCCAAACTCAAATAATTGATTGTATCCATTTGGTAAATGTTACATTCCGAGTCCAAAGAAGGTGGCAGTTCATAAACAGGAGATAAGGAACTGAAAAAAAAATCGACCTTTCTGAGAGACTGAAAGATAATCCTTTTCCACCTCAAAGCATTACATTTACTTTTTGAGGGCTTCTCACTCTAAAAACAATTTGCTGCATGTGAATGAAGCATTCAAATCCAGGTTGTAAAACAAATCAGCAGTCATGTCAAATGACTCAATAATTTCATTTATGGATGGATGATTTAGTCCTGGCGATGAAAGAGTGAATTCAGGAAACAAAGTAGTGAAAAAAGAAGTCTTGATGCTACAGCCAGGAGACAGAAAATGCCCAGTATCACAGCCAAACCGAGGCTGTTATTAACAACACACGTGTTTTGGCTTGCTTTACTATTCTGATAATTACAGCGTGGGTACTGAAAGAAAGATGAAGAAACTTGGGACCTCAGGATAGCAGAAAATTCACATGTCAGACAACTTAAACTTCTGCCATTCATAATTTACAACAGGACATGTTCTGTGCTTTCTTTTGTAGCCAACAGGTCTGAGAATATAGGGAATTCCTTTATAGTTTTCATGACTCATTTTTGTTACTATAACATGATCTGCTGAGACTGAGGAATTTACTTCTTCACTGGGACATGAAAATAAAAGGCACACGTTGATCGTTGTCATAGGATGGTAGAGTTCTTGCTTTGCCTTCTCACTGTGAACCTTATCCTGGGTAAAGGTGGCTTCTTTTCCAGTGCCTATCATGCAGTTTTGGTTCAGATGAGGTGGTGATTTGAGAAGGGATGCTGCTCAGACTGTCCTACATACCATATGGCATGCTTAGGGATGAAGCTCTCAGCATGGTAAGTCTGTGGTAGAGGCACTATCAGTTTGTCTTAATACTTCCTTGTGGGGCGGGGGGAGTCAGGATTTCTGAAAAAGTTGTCTGAAGAGATTTGGCAACTGCCTGGAGGGGAATTAAGCAAAATTTCCCATCTATTTTTTTTCTAGTATGTAATTGTCTAAAGGATATTAAGGTGGAATTATACTGACAGATGGCAAAATGAAGGAAGATACAAGAATAGATAGTGATTGGAGGCAGTTACCCCATAACATTTCTGCAGGAGCCGTTTAAAGAACTGACCACTGGAGGCACCATGTCATCTCTACAGTTGCTCTGGATATGCATTGATCCTGCAGAAGCTAAGGATTCAAACTTTAAGCTACAGAAATTCCTGCTTAGCCACATGTGTAGAGTCTGGACCAACAACAGAAATAGATATTGTTTTCTCAACTCCTGGTGATAGTTACTGGTATAAACCCTTGAATATTTTTCCTGACAAAAACACAGTACATCAGAAGAAATTATAGAAAACGTAGCAAAATTTGAGCAAAAGAATTTTTTCCACAAGAAAACATTCTTCAACCTCAACATATGCTTCAGGGCCCTTTTATTCATATACTCAATTCATACCCTACTCAATTTAAAATAAATTATGAAGTAGCAGATGCCATTTATTAGAAGATCAAATGGTTTGGTCACAACCTTGAGAAGGTAGCATTGGGGAAAGGAAGTACAAATGTGATGCAGAGAATGACTATGCTCAACAGTTCCCTGCCTCGTTCCCAGAAAAGATATTCACCCCTCTGCTACACGCCTAATGCAAGTTAATTCCTTTGCTGCACTGTGTAGAGGGAAACAACAACCAGCAGAGGCTGCTCCATTCGTTATGCTGCCGCTCACAATGTGAACGACGAGCAAAAAGGAATAAGGGAACTTCACAAGCCTTGCTTCTCTGCACTGACATGCAGCAAAGGTCACAGTATCACTCTAACATCATCAATTACAAATATCTACCTACAGCCACAGAAAGTCATAAAGCATTTCTGTGGGATAATATAAAGTATATACTTGGAGTCAGATGTCTGGGATTTTTATAATATACTGGATTTACCACATAAAATAGTCTGGTCACTTAATTCCCATCTAGATAGTTCTATACAATTAAAAGTATATACGAGTGAAGATATATCACAAAATAAACTTATCTTCTAACTGAAAAAACTAAACATTCTTTGAAATACAAATAAATTTTACCTCTAAAAGTAAAGAAGATTTCATTTTGCAGACCTGCTTTCTGCATTTTAACATGATGGCACTCTGACTGAACTAAAGTAACCTCACAAGAAAGTTCAGCAACTAGTTTGGCTAGTATTTGAAGCAACTTTTTCTCAAAAGAAACATTGTAGATACTATTGCAGGGCGCTGAGTGATATCGGGCTGTAAATTCGTAGTAATAGTCGGGATCAGAATAAGCTGCAGGAAAAGAAAATAAGTTACTGAGTCTTATGCTTAAACAATTTTGTCAGTAAAAAAGTACAGAATTTTTATTTGAAAATGGATTGTAGATGTCAAGTCATCATTCATAAATCAGTTTGCACCCTCACAGAATTGTTTCATGTTAAGGACACGTGTCAGACCAACATGGAATATTTTTAAATGTTTATTATTTACCTTACCATTTCCTTATATAGTTATATATCACTTTCAAGAGAGAGACAAACATGTACATGTGCCTTAGCTTTCTTCACATACCTATCTCAGCTTTGCACCTGGTCCAGTAAAAGATATCACCCCAAAAAATCCTTGCCTCTTGCAAGAAACCCAGTAAGTTTCAGAAAACCCACTTCAATGAGATGCAATAATTCATCATTAACATTTTTCTTAAAAGATTTGAAATATTGTTTTATAATTACCTAAGGATGACAAATGAGTTTTAAAGAGCTAGCATATCAATTCTCCCCAAAAATGGGATCCAAGAGACTACAGTTAATGAGCAGTGGCTAAGCAGCATCTCGCTCTACATCTGAGTCTCTGGTCATCCTCCTAATCAGCTGATACAGGACAGATAAGGAAAGTCTCTCTTTTGGTACAATATAGGCTGACTAAAGGAAAATGGCATAAATGAGCTAACAGAAGTTATGGGGAATCAAAAAGCAAAAGAAAATGAAGGACCAGAAGAGAAAAGGGAAAAAGAAGAGATCATATTAAGAAGAGAATGATAAAGTAGAGAGCTAAGGCAGCTAAAACAAACAAAAGAAAACATGAAATTATCCAAAATACTTGATGGTATACTGGTTCCCAATTTAGATGACTCAACAGAACCTGTGCCACTTGCTCATAATGAACGCTGAACTTCTGTTTATTTCCCCAGACCGTAGAATTCTGGAACCCCTGTACATTTTATAGAAGTCACATTTTGTTTCATGATAGACCTTCTTGGAGAAGATGAAAGCTGCAGTTGGACTGAAGGATGACATTTAAAAAGTGGAGTTGTTGAGAAAGGTGAAATGTTGTCAATTTTTGGATTATGAAGAATTATGATTCAGAAAAGTTTTCTCTTCTCAAGTTGTGTTCAGCAAATTGGGAAACTACTAAAATTGGCAGTACCTTTTCTAGGTTGGAGGGACTTGGACAAATTCACTGAATTAATGACAGACATTAACTCTGTCTAGTCTGTTATATTTCAAGTTCCTAAATTCCATTTGCTTATATTTGAAATGTAAAGTTAGAGCTAGCTCCCACTGAAGATAAAAGGAGTTTTGCCATAGGTTGAGCTTAAGTATAATCAGACCCTAAAGAAAAAAAGGGGATCTGGTAGTCAAGAGAGAAAATTATATTTGTAGTATTTTTTATTTAAGTGGAGAGGCATTTGCTATAGCATAAAACATAATTTATTCAGCAAAATACAGCAGATTAGCATCTTTTAAAGAATTGTTAATATGTTATAATCACACAATACCCACTCAAAATAAGAAGCTATGTTTAACATCATTGTAAACACAAAATGTAGTGTCTTAAATTAGCATAAATTGCACTAATGTGACTTTCACAAGGTAAAAATGAATCTCCTAAGGCAGGGGTTCGCAATCCCCGGGCTGCAGCAGATTGGCTGGTCCACAGCACAGCCAGCTGCCAGACCGGAAATGTCCGTGGACTGGCAAACCGTGGTCCTCCACAGCTGGGCAGAGAGGCCGCGGCTCCTTCTGCAGGGCCCACGGCAGCACAGGGTTTGCCCCCCCACCCAGGGATGGGGGTATCCTTACCTGTCCTCCGGCCGCAAATTCTGGCCATGGTTGGGTGTGACTGTTGGGCCTCGGTTTGCTGGGCCGCAGTCACTTCTGGGCCATGGTTTGCTGGGCCATGGCATAAAAATGTTGGGAACCCCTGTCCTAAGAAATACCAGTATTTTACTATGGGTATTTCCCAAGCTTCTCAGCTTTGCTGGTTGCTGCATGGGGTTAGGAGGAAATTTTCTCCCCTTCCTGCTGCTACAGGTATCAAGTGTTTTTTTTGAGCCTCTCTCAGAGGCACTGGGTGTTGGCTACAGCCAAGGCTGGGAATTTTGACAGGCGTACGCCAGTGTTCTAGCTGGGACTTAAACACAGAGGTTCCTGGCTAGCAGATCTTGCCTCTCTGCTCAGAGTGAGACAGATGGTTATATCTGGGGTCAGGAAAGAATTTTACCCCTTGGTCAGATTGGTAAGGACTGTGGGGGATTTTGCCTTCTCTGTAGCAGGGGGCACAGTCCTCTTCCTGGGATCTCTTGAGCATATATTAACAACCTTCACAGCAACAGAACTTTGGCCACCAGGATCCCCCTGCTTTAGTTGTGACAGATTAGGGTGTTGTGTCTTGTGTTGTTTCATAGTTTCATAGTATCTAGGGTCGGAAGGGACCTGGGCAGATCATCTAGTCCGACCCCCTGCTATGGCAGGAAAGAGTACTGGGGTCAAACGACCCCA